AAGATCTACCCGAAAATCTTTCAAGGACTTAAAATCTTATATTTTTAAATGCCCTAACAAATACCTAGATTCAAATTGAAATTGAAAATATCTTAGAGATTCTGTTGTTGCAGTAAATCTTGAATTATTTTTTTTTTATATCTTTGCACCTTATTAAAAAAAATTACTAGATTGGGTTTTAAGTCAATCCAAATATACAGGTTGCCAAAAGTTGGTTAAAAATGGAGGAGCAGGAGTGCAACCAATGTTAAGTGAAATGTAGTACGTTGGCGTAAATCACTGTCAGTTATTCTATATCCCGGCAGGAGCTTTTGATTCAAAGTCCATTATTTCCCAAAAAAAAGGTTTTATGGAGCTCTTCAGAACTAATTCTTTCAAATATTTAATTGTTTAAACATATTTTTAAAACTATCGCATTCAAAAATTCTAAAGATTGCTTTATGGTATACTTATAAATACATCTGTATGTCAAAAGATAAAAATTGTCTTTATTTGTAAAAACTTTAACTAAACTTGTTTAATAGACCGATTTGGAATAAAAAGCTACTTGGTATTATGTCAAAGATCGAGCTTAGTCGTTGTTAAACATTACGAAATTTCTTTAACTTTATTTTTTACATAATTTCTGCATATGCCTTTTGCCTATAGATAATAACACAAATATATGAAATCATTAATTTCACGAGTTTCTTACTTTATATTATATATAGAGCTGTAAAAATTCTGGAGCAAAAGCTCGCGAGAGCACGACATTAATAATATGGAATAAAAATATAAAATATTTTGATTTGCGTTGTTTATTTTTTGTTTTTGTACTGTTTTTTTTTTTTTTTGCAAATTATTAGATATGTAAACTAACTAAAAGTGGTTGTTTAATTGAGACCATATGTTTTCACGTACCTATATGAAACATTAATTAACATATGGTATTTTTCACGTCTAAATTTGATAATAACACAATTGCCTTAATTTGCTATCAACTTTATAACTGATAAAAGGCTGAATTTTTTTTATTTTTATCATATATACATATATTGGTTTTTGCGACCATTCTTCAATCACTCCACTTAACACTTTGATTATAAGGAAATACATTAATATTATCAGCTCCAAAAAGTAAGAATCTACTTATGCTTGAGGCACCTTTAAATGCTGCAATTACTTTGAAGCTTTGTAAAAATTCACTTTATTATAACACGAAACCGTTGTGTACTATTGAAATATGTTTTATTTTTTTTTTTTAACCACATTAAGTAATAGGTTATGTTCTGCAAGAAGACGTGCGTTTTTTTTAATTTTCGGAATTCACTTTATATGTAACTTTTTCGCCTGACGCGTTCACGCATTTACGCATTTACGTTTTTTCACCTCTGTGATTTGGCACTTCTTTGCTCAACAGTAACTCCAAGCAGACCCGTCGGCACGTTCGGCTACCATTACCACCAACTTCAGTAGTACCCGTCAGCACAGCAACAGGGTGCACTTAACAAAGGCGAGCCATCCATGGTAGTCAAAGAACAAAATGAACGAGTCGAGTCACAGAGGCAGCGCCAGCATGGCAAGAGCGGCCAAAACTGCACGCATTACGCACCCACACCAATACCGATACCGAAACACACTAACGCAAGCCGTGGCAATGACAAGCGTGCAAGTTGCCAACCGGAGACGGAGACGGATCACACGTATATACCGTGTTTTCGAAGCCGCGTTCATTGAGAACTGATAAAAGATATCTAAGCGAATAGACACGAGACATTACAAATATGTTACCGTTATTAACAGACCAACAACAGTGCAAATAACAGTGGTAAACCAGCTGTGTGTACATTTGTACAATAGTGAGAGTAATGTTATTGTATTTGTTCATATACATACATATATGTACATATTTACAAATATAACAGAACCATATATTGAGTAACATTGACGTAGTAGAATTTTGTGGAAAATTTTATGAACTCTGCTTTGGTAGCAACAAATGGGAATACAATGAAAGGGATAAGCAAGTACATACAGGTACACTATTGGAAGCCAAAATAAAGCGGAAAGGATCATATTCTTTCATTGAGAAATGTAAATGCCAAGAAACAAAAATAACTCTAGTACAAAAATGTTTCCTAACTCGCTAGCAAAGCGTGAAATAATGCAATAATCTCAATATTTTAAGTTGCAGAGTACGAAATTTTTGATATTATTGCAAATTAACTAGCACCTTTGCAGTAGCCGCTAAGCAAGCGTACACCAAAACTTTCATTATAGTTAGCATCCGGCTGGGAAAAATAGGCAACTGAATATCTATCCGCCATTTTTAATGTATTGCGTATTACTACCTTCGTTATAGTGCGCAAAAATGTCAAACTCAGGAAAATGCCAGACCAACAGAACCAGTGGCCCACGAATAGTTTGAATATCCTCATAAATGATTTTTCAGATTCATTTAGCCAATACCAACCAACTTTAGGAATTCTAACACAAAATAGAGCAATGCTGCCAATTACTTCAAAAAGCTTCTCAAAAATTTAAAATCAGGGATGTTTTTAGTGTTTTAAGTATACTGAAAGTAGTAGCCATTCGCAATACCAAATACTAACCGGCTAGTAAACCGGCAAACACACACCAACTACCTCATATAATGCGGGAGTAGATTAAATTGGAAATTTTTATATTTTTTTATGAAGAGCAATGTGGACCAATTTTTTACAAAAGTTGATTACTAAAACATCTGATATCAGCATCCACGAGTGTATGGCTAAAATGCGACAAACTAAATACAAGCATATGTTAAATGTAAATGTTACTAATTGTGTTGTCAGCAAGTTTTTCTTAAATATTAAGAATTACATTTTTCCCAATCACAGATTAGAAAAATTTCCACAAAAAATTTCAATACTTTTTTCGTATATTTCCCAAAAATTCAAGCGAAGCAACAGGCAATAAACACCAGGAGAGAGCTTTGGAAAGAGCCAGAGAGTAGTGTTAGTAAAATATTTCTAAAATTTCCTTCCAGCACATATATACATACAATTGTGTATGTATTTCCAACAAGCCTGCCGGAGCTTGATTGAACGGACCTGCTTATCAGTAACCAAGCAACGAGCAAGCTGACGTTGTTCGCACGCATTGTTGTCGGAAAATTGCTAAATACCTTTTCTGTCGGTATGCTAACTGTGAGTTTGGCGCAGCTTGCAGCCATCGATGCCCGAGCCGAGTATAATTTAATTACTACCCGGTATGCAACTCAATCGCAGCAGCTCTTTTGATGTCTCGTACACTAATAATAAGGATGTGAATTAAATTATTGGCGGTAATTAGTGGTCTAGTGCCTATAGCATGGTGCACTTTTGATTCTCAATATCATGTTCACTTATTTATATTTATTTCAGAGCCCATATGAACAAATTTTGACATTGCAGAAGGAAGCGCAACTTCATATGACATGTTAATTGTGAAGAAATATAATATATACTTTGAGATATCTCGATTAAAGAAAGTAAATGAAATAAAATATGTAGGGAGGAAACAGTGGTTTTGGCACCAATGTTTGACCCGCTGAACCAGTTTTTATTACATTTTATCAAAGAAAGAAGATCAACTCAACATAAGAAAAATAGTTTATTTTGTGCAGTTTTAGTCTGATATATTGTACATACTTGATGTATATATCGTTTAAAAATAATTTTTGGGCTGCAAAGCTAACAAAAAAGTCGACTTTTTTATATAGGGTCTAAGAACGATGTAATATTAAAATTAATTAAAACACTCAAGTTTTGTCAAAATGAATTCTGTTTTTTATGCAGATAATTTTATGTCATATATGATTTGAACAAAATGTTGGCGAAATGGCAACCACGCTATCTCCACCCGATCACGCCAACTATCGATGACTCGGTGCTGTTTTTCGGCTGGAATTTCGCTTATAGTGCGCTAAATGTTGTCTTCGAGCTTCTCGAGCGTTGCTGGTTGATTGGCGCAAACCTTAGATTTAACAAACCTCTAAAGAAAATAATCAAGATGCTTTAAATCGCATGATCTTGGCGACCATTTGACGGAGCCATTTCTCGAAATTAACGAGGCGCCAAACTTTTTCATTTCGAATGAAATAACGTCCGATAATGCCACTCCACAATTCGCACCAAAATGTCAGTTATTGGGGATGCCATTGCTTTTCCTAAACCACACGAGGACTTAACTCATCCCGATACCGGCAATTTTGTTTGTTGACGAAGCCATTACGCCAAAAATGGCTCTCATCTGAGAAGATGATTTTTCGATGAGCGTGAATTGTGAATAATCTCGTGAAATCTCATGAAATGACAAAGCTTACTAAACGCAATGACAAAATTCAACACAAATTCGTAAAAAAACATGGTCACCACTGCCTCACATCATCACTATTGGTAGACGCTGTAGAAGTAGTGGCTACTTTTAGGGGTAAGATTTCGGTGGGTGAAACTTGATCAGTGTCAGGCCAGTTAAAAATATTAGCAAACAGATTTCTAGTAAGAGTAAAGAGTAAAAACATTAGTCAAACAAAGTAACCCAATCTAACCGCTGTGTGACTGCGAAACCCTTCTGGATCAGAGTAAAATGTAGGCACTGTATCCAATATTCTGAGCCGAAAACAAAATTTACATTCTCAATTTTTTTTCGTGTGAAAAATGTCTGTTCTTTGAGCAAAATATTGGACACGTGTTTTTTATTTCGACTCAATATAAAAAATTTTGGAGTTATGCGTTACGAAGAAAAGTATTTCATTGCAAAAATAACTACTCGGCCTAATGTTTACGATTTTTTCTCAACTATCCAATAAGAAATGCATTAAATTTGTTCGACTTTTTTACAAACAAAAGGTACATTTTATAAACAAATAATTGGTTTTTCTCAATTGGGAACAATTTTTATAATTATTTTTTTTTTTATTGAAATATGTGCATTAAGCTCTTCAAGTACAAAGTTTGGAAATTTGTCAAAATCACAGTTTTTTCTTTTCACTCAGAAATTTTCAAATCAGTAACTTAAGAGCCAAATTTTTGTTTCAATAAAAATAGTTCCAAATTCAAAAATAAAAATTTTTGTTTATAAAAATTTACCTTTTGTTGATAAAAAAAAGTCGAATATATTCAACATATACCTCATTGGAAAGCTGAGAAAAAATCGTAAACATTAGGCCGACTAGATATTTTTGTAAGGAAATGCTTTTCTTCGTATACGCAAATGTTAAAAGGTACTTTATATTTAATTATACATTTACACATACACAATTTATACATTTACACAAACTCGTATACCATATATAAGTAAATATACATATATGAGAAATATGCTTTTACGAATCCCATCCCCAAGTATTGATAGATGTTTAGTAAAACTAATTGATTATATTTATCAATTTAACGCACATGAGATGCTACGATTGAGACGCCCGCTAACATTCTATGTGCGCTATGTGTAATCTATTGTGTTAGTTGTCCTAAAAGTACAGAATTACTATGGACGCACATGCGAGTATTCAGTAAACATAATGATGTTACAGTCTGGCTGTGCTCAATCAATTCGCTTACAATCAAGCCGCTGGCTTCGGTAGGTTAATAGGATTATAGCAGCTCAGCTAGAGTACACGTCATACTATATATACTAGGTGTGTACTATATGCATATATACTTACATATTGCAATGTGTACATTTTGTAAGTATATTAAAATGTCCGAGAAGTGACGAAAATTTTTTACAAAACATGCATGTCACAAAAATATTTCGCGCTACTTCATTTATTGTAGCTATATTTACCATACATACATATGTACATACATAACACCTACATGTATCAATGGAAAGAAATAGTTTTGCTTGAAAAAAAATATTTCTCATCAAAATACCCTTTTTATACTTGAACTAAAATGGCTGTTAAATGAATTTTATATATTGTACAACAATTAAAATTTTTCTACGGTTATTTAAAATTAAACAAACAAAAATTATATATGTATACCAATAAGTACATACTAAAGTATCTCTCTACAGGTATATACACGAACAAGTCCCTCATTTTTTTAAAATATCTATCAGAAAAATTTGATAAAAGGACCTATCCCCAAGAAGTTGCTCATTTGTTGCAACCTCTACAGCATCAAGTCCTTGTGTGGAAAACTTTTTCACTTTACAAGAGGTTATCATCCATGGCAATGGTACAATATCCAAACACATTGTTGAGACCGGACTACTAAAACATATCCATAGCTGTCATACAAGCTAACCGATAAAAGTTTATTTCTTGTATGTACAACTTTTTTATTTGAAAACATGTCTTCACGAAATTGACAGTTTTAGAACTCAATGGTTAACAAGCAATAGTTTTTCTCGGCTCAAAAAATTCCGAGCGTTATGCAGTCATTCTAAACGAGTGAGAAAGAATCAAGCTAAGCTAAGCAAAGCATTGCCACTTCATGATATAGAGCTAGTCAGTAGCAGAGTTAGGGGAAGATATTAACCCAACGTTAGTCGTTACATGCTTACATAATAGCGTTTGTACCTTACCAATATGCAGTGTATATATGTAAAAACATATATTGGATAGTCTAGGAAAAGAACCAGGTAAAACCATTTTTGGTGTCCTCCCAAATTTAGCCTCCCTTATCTTTTATTCTTGAACTATAAGAATTTATTTCAAAGATAAATGCGGTCAATCGTCACATTACATTTCTTTGTCGCTCAGTATGTATGTTTCTTCGCTTCTGACACATGTCCGGCAGCGCCAACAGCGTGTAGCGCAAGTCGCTCAAACAACAAGTGCTTGCGTTGCAGTTTCAGTTAGACATGGCTTATTTGATATTGATTTAGATAAACTATAATCAGTTTAAAATTTTTATAAAATAAGTCATTTGTATAGAATTTAAAACATTTACAACTCTCTTAAACATGATCAGATGGGTAATTACTACTTTTGGTAAATACAGATCTCTGAGAAGATAGCACTTGCAAGTCAGAAAATACGCGTTTTTTGTGAATTTTATTTAAGATGCATTTTATTTAATACATAAATAAACAGTAAGGAGAAGCTAATTTCGGGTGTAGCCAAACATTTTATACTCTTACAACGTGCCTCAAAGGCACTTTTTATGCAATGTTTTATCGAAATATATTCATTGGTGCTTGATTTGTGCACTGGAAAGTAAAAGAATCATATGGAAATTAAATTGTGCTATGGGAAGTAGGCGTGGTTGTAGTCCGATTTCGCCTATTTTCGCAATAGGACACAGGAACATCAATATTATGTTTTATACCGAATTTGGTTGAAACTGGTTTTGATCACACCCAAAAGGTAAGCGTTGCCCCGCACATCGTCCAATTTTGGCACCGGCTCTTATAAAACCCTCCTGTATCATCCTGGGTGTAAAATTTAATGCCTCTGGCGCATATAGTTATTGATTTATCGCACTTTAAATAGTTTTTAACGAAACCGTTATATGGGGAGAGGACGGGGTTATAATCCCATTTCATCCATTTTCACACTGTCGGTAAGGGCTCTAATAGGATTTGTCCTAAGCGAATTTGGTTATTGTAGCTAGCGGGTGGGGCCACGCTTATTTTTTTTTAATTTTTAATTCATATGTGCTCCTTTGCTACTGCGATTCCCTGTGCCAAATTACACTTATATATCTTAATTTAGTGCTTAGTTATGGCAACTTAAAAGTTTTAGTTTAATGGCGGTTTGTTGGCGTGGCAGTGGTCTAATTACGCTCATCTACGACCCGTCCTCAGTTTTTTTACTCAAGTTATCGCTTGCATAGACAGACGCACAAATGGACAGACAGTCATCCGGATTATAGCATATAATACTCTTAACTACCGAATATGTCGGTCAGAGTGTAAGTTATTTAATATATCATTTCCAGAGTATAATAGTTTTGATCACATAAAGATTGTTTGTATTCCCTAAACCTAATCGATATGGATATGGAGCTATATTGTCTGAGTTACTACTGTCTTAGCTGTCTGTCCGTCCGTCTGTCCGTGCAAGCAATCACTTGTTCCTTGGCACCCAAAGGAGGTTGGTATTGCAGATGGGCGTAATTGGACCATTACCACGCCCACGAAATTTCAATAAATAAAAACCTATAAATAAATAAAAATTTATACTGCTTAGATCGGCCAAGATGTGAGTTATCTTAAAAATAAGCGCATTCTTTCAATAACAGTGTATTTGTATACCATCTTGCAATATAGGTATTGCTACAAAATATAATAGTAGTGTTCGTACATGGGCGGAAACGGACCATGGGCGTGACCTTGCCCTCTAATAGGTTTAATGTACATATCTCTCAAACCATTCAAGCTACAATAACCAAATCCGACAATTCAAGTCTTATAAGAACCTCTACCGATAGTGTGAAAATAGATAATATCGGATTATAACCCCGCCCTCTTCCCATTTAACGGTTTTTTTTTTAAACTAATTAAAGCGCAATAAATCAATAACCAAATGCGCTAGAGACATTAAATTGTGACAATCCTATGTCACTTTGTGAAAATAGGCGGGCTCGGACTACAATCACGCCTACTTCCCATATAGTACAATTTTCAATTCCATATGATTTTTTCACTTTCCCGTACATAAATCAAGCACCAATGAATATATTCGAATAAAACTTTGTATTAAATAGTGACTTTGAGGTATTCTTGCACGTTGTAAGAGTATAAAATGTTCGGTGGCACCCGAACTTACCTTTCTTTACTTGTTCTGGCTAATATGGATGAAATCAGGTAAAAGCTTGCCCTATCTCCATTAAACTAACATTAGGGTGTTCAATCATCCGGTTGCCTTTACTCCTTATATATTAGTGATGCTGATGATGATGAAGATTTTTCTGTTAAGTATATGCAGTAATACCGAAAATAGATAAGGTCACCTTTCTCTCCCATAAACCTAATTTAATATTTTCAAGCTCCTGTATTGGTGAATATGTAAGATATCTTTGCAAAATCAACCGAACTTATAATATTCGATATACAATAGCTTAATTCCGAAAATATGTGAAATTTATGTACGCATTACCTGACTCGCATATATTACATATTATATAACGATTTTCGTTATGCTAATAAACCTAACGCCGATTATGTCGGTCTGTGAATGAGTTATTTATTTATAATATTGGTTGAAAATATGTAATCGAGCAATCTAGAAAGTGAAAGTCAAGACCTTTTTCTGCCCTAAAATATTTCTGACTTTCCACTTGACTTGAATGGAATTGTTTTAGACCTTGGACTAAACCTCATATCCCTAATAAGAAAGTGATAATTTACGGAAAGCTTTAATTTTTTTATTCCATTTGAAGAAAAGTGCTGCAGAGTTGCATCGAATGCGTGTCGAGGCATATGGTGATCATATATGCTCTATCAAAAGCAACATGCAAAACATGGTTTCAACAGTTCAGAGATAATGCTTTTGATGTGAGAAACGTGGAAGATCACTAAAAAAGTTTGAAGACGCCGAACTGCAAGCAATATAGGATCAAGATTATACTTTGAGTCAAAAGCAAATGGCAGGAATGTTAAATGTTGCACTAAAACATTTTCAGACCGTTTGAAAGTTATGGGAAAGATCCAAAAGTGTTGAAAATGGGTGCCACATGAATTTAATGAAATGCAAATGGAAAACCAAAAAAATACTTATAAAAGTATACTTCAAAGACACGAAAGAAAATCAGTTTTTTATCAAATCGTCACTGGCGATTAAAAATGGATTTATTTTAAGAGTCCTAAACGGAGAAAATCAATCTGAACAATGCATTGATCGAAAAACGACCAGAATGGGCCAGAAGACACGGCAAAATAATACTGCTACATGACAATGCACCTGCAAACAGAGGAAAATCGGTTCACGATACACTCAAAGTAATTGGCTGGGAGATCCTACCCCACCCGCCGTATACACCAGACTTGCACTTTCCAATTACCATTTGGTTTCATCGAACGATTGGCTGAGCAGCACTTCGATTCCTACGCAGAAGGCGAAAATTGGTTCAAACGACGAACATTATATTGGCGTGGTATCCACAAAATGCCAGAAAGGTGGCCAAAATGTGTAAAAAGCAATGGATTATTCCTACCATTAATCATTTCCAAAGAGAATTTATGGAATTGTAGTAATGGCGCAACTTCTGGCAATGAAAAATGTACATTAAAATCACCCGTAAGAATTACCGGTGGTTCACAAATCTGCGC